AAAATCGGAAGACACCTGGGGCACCGGGACCCCCGAACAACGGAAAAAATCCGATGACGAGAGTAGTCCCTCTGAGCGAGCTAGCACGGGAACCGTCGGCCCGGGATCCCCCGGGGCGACCGGCTCCGTATCGCTCATAATGCACCCGGCCGACAGCGCCTCAGGCCCCGTGGGCTGAGCGAGCGCTGGACGGACCGGTAGCCCGTGCAATAGCCCATCCCGACAACCAGTGGTGTTCGGCACTGTGTCGGGAGGGCACGGGTGACTAGAGCCCACCGAAGTGTGACGGCTAGTCCCCTCGGGCTGCCCCGTGATCGGGGGAGGGCTAGGTGCCAAAGCGGCGCTCGTTGCCGAGCCACGCTTGCCCTGACGGCCCTTCTTAGGCTTTGCTCCGGCACAGGAGATATGTTTTAGGGGAACCTTGCCGGAGTGAGCCTTTAGTTTGGGTGTTCCGCCCGAGTTGACCGGAGAAGGTGACCGAGGTCCCCTTAACTGATCGGCGGAACTGCCAACTCCCTCAGCCGACTGTGGCTGAGGGTGCCGGACGAGAGACTGCTGCCGCGGTAACGTCGGAGCGTTAACGGCAGAGTCCCCCGAGAACTCGGTCCGTCCCGTGGGAGAGCTATCCCTTACGGTTAGTGACAGATCGGCCCTCCCCAAACGCTTCATATTTATGAAATAAATTAAACCAAGAAGATGATGAAACTCTACAAACTAATGATTACTAATCTTTTATTAAATACTTCTCTTAAACGCAAAAAAGGGTAGTAAATGACGAGGCAAACAGCGAGCTATTTCACGCACGTCCTACCCGACCTGCCGCTAAGAGAAAAGAGGACGCTCACGAGGCACGCATGTCGCGGGGTATTATGGGTAGGGCGCCAGAGGGCGCTATTGTATATAACTCTTAGCGAAAATACCTGCCGGTAGGGGGAATATGCATAAGTAGTATTGCTCTACAGGTAAGTAGAGTGAAGTAGACTTGAACAGGCAAGTGTTTTGCATTTGCATTAAGTAGTTATACAGTTCCTGTTTGCCCACGGTTTGGTATATACTGCAGTTTATAGTTGTTGCTATGTATTTTTCAACCACGTTGAAAGGAGAAAAAAAAAATTAGAATTAAAGTCATTTTGTAATTGTCCTGTTTGATGTTCAAGCAAGTTTTTTTTTTTTCCTGTACAGACAAAGGAGCTTAAGTTTAAGGACTTGTTAGTTGCTCCAAAAGACCATGGTTCTTACAAATAAAATGGACCAAACCGAAGTGAATGAAAGACATGATTATCCTTCGTTTCATTTCTTTACAGTTAGAGCGGTGGTGTTTTTTTTACGGGACAGTTCCAGTTTCGCTCGTACCCACCGCCCTGCGCCAGTAGGGACAAGAGTTCAATCCAACACACACAATAACCGCAACTGTAATCGACTTATCGGGTATAATGGGAGACTTTAATGAACAAAGGCGAGAACGCACATTGAGCGATAACGATAGAACGGAGACAAACAGGTCGAAGGTCACGAACGCAAGAGGGCGTTATCATTACTACTGGCGTGGCCTCTTTTTTTCTCTTTTGAAACAAGGCAAAGAACTTAAACGCTGCCACCATGCCAGTAGGGACAAGAGTTCAATCCAACACACACAATAACCGCAACTGTAATCGACTTATCGGGTATAATGGAATCGACTTATCGGGTATAATGGGAGACTTTAATGAACAAAGGCGAGAACGCACATTGAGCGATAACGATAGAATGGAGACAAACAGGTCGAAGGTCACGAACGCAAGAGGGCGTTATCATTACTACTGGCGTGACCTCTTTTTTCTCTTTTGAAACAAGGCAAAAAACCTAAACAATGAGTCCCTCTTACAGTAAAATATATTAGAAGGAGAACGAAGAATATGTTTTTTTTGTTGCTGCGCTCAATTGAAACAAGAAACAAAAGCTAAACATGTAATATCAAAATCTAATCTAATGCTACATAAAGAAAGAAAAATGGGCCTTCATAGGGGTAGACTGCCTTCCAGCCCTGGGGATTATTCTGCCACACATGTGCCACTCCATAGGAAGGCATTATATATCTTGTCCTAAACACTACCAGTGTTCACACAGTCACGGATCAGTGTCAATAATCAGTCAAGTAGTCATCAAGGTATGCGGGTGGTTTGCGTAGGCGGGATGAGCGTCTTGCGGGTGAGCGTGGGCAAGAGATGCTCATGTCTCCAGGGCTGTCTGTAGGAATCGTGGGCTGTGGAGTAGGCAACACGTGAATAGGTACCTCTGCTACTTGTGGTGCATGCTCAGCTTCCAGAGAGGGGGATCCAGTAGCTTGCTTAGCAGGTGTCGAGAGTATGATTGGTATGGCAGGTGGTGTGGGTGGAGCTGGTGCTATGTCAGCGTCTGCTTCATCAGCACTGTCATGAAGATCGGGCCATTCTGATGGAAATGGTGGATCGATATCAGAGTGGGAAGGTACCTTGAAACACTCTGAGCGTTTAACACGGTAGAATGTGCTCCGGAGTTGGTTCCCGATGAATTTACGGACACTGCACCACAACCCATCAATGGCTGTCACAAGGTAGCGGTTTCGTCTTTTTGTTTTGTTGCGGTCACCATGGAGATATACTAAGTCCCCGATGGCAACAACAGTGTCAGATGCAATTCTGCCTGATGGTGTCTTCGCCTTTTCACTGTGGGGATGATTAGCGATGCGAAGGTCCTGCTGGTCAAAAATCAACTGCCGGTCGGTGATGGGAATCTGGCTGTTTGTGAACTGATCCCGTTGATACCACATCTCGTGAGTGGAAAGACCACGGGAGCGTATGTGGGAATTCAGGCAAGATGTGGCTAATGCAAGAGTCAGTGGTGATACGGCGCCGCCCATGGGATCTTGGTGCAGGAGCTCGTCTTCCAGCTCTTATACAGCTTTTTCGGCAACTGGATTCTTGTCGATATTCTTGATGCGGCCAATTTCAATGGTCAACCTGTGCTGCTGCAGGAGCTCATCAGTCACAAGGGACCTGAAGCCTGGTACTGGGTCTCACAGAACTCACAGAACTCACAGCCATCACGGGAGAGTGTGAGGGGTGTCTCGCCCATTACCATGAGTGGGGATGAGCCATCTGCTTGATGTGCAGACTGGAGCTTTCCTTTATTGTAGCCCCTAGGCGCTTTGCAGTGGAGGCATGGATCATGTTTCCTGTGGCTCCACTATCGATGGTTATGCGGATGGTGTGATAGCCACAAAACGTGTCCAAGTACGGGGAATGTCGTGTCTGGACTCTGAAGGCGGAGGGATTGTCCCTGTCGTTCGTGTCAGGGCTCTCCTCATCCTCATTGACTACTTGGGGCTCGTCTCCTGCTCGGGGAGGTGAGGGCACTCGCTCAGGAAGTGATTGGAACTGTTCCATCCAACCTGTTTGGGGGCGAGAGGGGCGTCGTTGTGGTTGACATAGTTCGGACCTGGGTTGCGAGCCGAAAGACGGGCGTGAAGGGGGAGGGCGTGAGGTTACTGTACGCATCGCCTTCGGGTCATCGGAGCGAGCCAAGGGCTTGTGATATCTCAGGCTTGATGGAGGCGAGTGTGCGTGACCGGAGCTCTGTACCGTATTGCTGCTTCACTAACTTTGGCAGACTGGTATGTATGTTAGGACGATAAAGTTCTCTAGGGAGGGAGACAGTTCCTCATCCTCAGTAACTGGCTGGCCATGATGGGAAATTCCGCTGTCCGAGCGGAGTAAATTGTCCTCTGCAAATGCCATGAGGCGCTGGTACAGGTCTACTGGTCGCTCAGGGCTGAGGTGGATGTCAGAAAAGTCAATAAAGTGGGCGCCAGTTGATTGAAAGCCAAAGTGTAGGCGTATGACTTGCCATATGGTCTGTACTGAGGTTGAGTTCTTCATAATGGTATTTCTGGATATCACGGGGCAATAATTGGCGATTTGCCCCAACATTAGCTCAAGCATAGTTACTTTTTGCTAAGCAGTTTTGCATTTGTCCACTGGGACTGTGTCATTGTCATCCTGGAAACCTCGTAGGGAGGCCGTTTTAATTTTCTTCCCCCACTGACAGCCCTCCACTAAGAATGGAGCAAAGTTGGAATCAAGTGAGAGTGTATATTGAAGGTTTTGCCGCCAGTTCTCGAAAGTGTTTACTGTTTCTACCTTGCTCAAGCACCACTGCTTCGGTGCGCGGTGCATGGACGCCATAGTGCACTCCGAAAATAACCACTGGATGACAAGACGATGTACTCAATTGTATGTATAACTGTACAGTCACTCACTGTGTACGTGAATGGCTATGTACCGTATGTGTCCGGTATGTCCGAGGTTTGAAGCACTTTTTCCACACTTTCTACGGTGAAGATTCGTCTCAAAACGCTGCCCCCATGCCAGTAGGGACAAGAGTTCTATCCAACACACACAATAACCGCAACTGTAATCGACTTATTGGGTATAATGGAAGACTTTAATGAACAAAGGCGGGAAAGCACATTGAGCAATATAAACGATAGAACGGAGACAAATAGGTCGAAGGTCACGAACGCAAGAGGGCGTAATCATTACTACTGGCGCTGCAAACAGGATGCTGGGATACGCTGATGAGCTTCACAGAATCTTGTGATGGAAGTGGCCTATGACCTACATGTATGTATAAAGCATCTGGCTGCAGCTGTTCAAGACCGCAGTTAGACAATGTGCTCAAATGCTATCCGAAAACTTCCCATAGAAATGCACACGTTCCATACTGGATGTGATTTCTGTTTCATTACGGACCACGAGGACAAAATTTAAATGTGTCAGTACAACTGACATGTATGCTGTACATATATGTAACCACACATAATAAAAAAAGAAAATGAAGAACTCGATTGACAAACAAAATATATAGATTGAACTTGAAAACATCCACAACGTTTCTAACATTTTATGTGCATGATTCATTAGTGAGATATTTTAAGAAGCATATTTATATGAAATGGCTATGTAGGTTAAGGGTGCACTTACCTGCGTAGGTGGATGATTTTCTATCACTATATTCATAGGATGGTCCTGTGGCCTCCACTGTAATAAACAATATATAGAGAAACATTATGATATCGCTCACTGGTACTTTAACATTAACAAATATTGCTGATCAATTCAGACACTCATCAATAAGCACATTCTTTATTTCTCTAGTTAGCATGGAAGGAGCTCCATACTTGATACGCTACTAATGAGACATCTGCATCTAGATTTCAGTGAACAGCTGTACAAGAAATAAATTCTGATACAGTCAACCATAGTGAAATTGCCCAAAACAACTTTCAGCTGAACAAATATCTCTTGTATTATTACTTGTAATGACAAGTATAACTCTGTGATTTCTTTATATAGTACCTTTCATGAAGGATATTCTCTGATCACTCAGTCGTCTCAATGAGTGTGTCTTGCCTGTATCTGTCTGCACACCAGGAACTGTTAATAAAACAGACAATTCAGGAGTAAAACCATACTTTTTTGTTTTAGGGGGGGGGGGCAAATGAAGCCAGTGAAATCCACAAGTTCTTTGGAAAGAATGAAGTTACTTAAGGTTACTTCTTTCCATGCGCACATTTTACTCATAATCAACTCTAGTACTTATGAAAAGGCTCATACTAGATTATGTTAAACATGCACAGTCTGTTTTAAGTTTTGTATGACTCATACCATACTTTCAATGGGGAGCACTGTTCAAATTTGACAATTATTAACACTATATTACAAAATAGTTTACAAATACCCCCTAACCAAGCTGGCTCTGTCCGTATTTTGTGCACAGGCGGACATTATTACCAGTATAATTTTTTTGGGTGTCGGAGGGGGGGGGGGCATATTATTATTACTAGGAATTTCTTCTTCTTTTTTTGGACAGAGCTTCTTTTTTTTGACCCCCCCCCCATCCCTGGATCCGCACCTGAACAACTTGTCCAAAGGCAAAATGTTTACTTTTGCACGATGCCATCGCTAGAAAAAAAGAGGAAGTATAATGACGGATTCATGACGTGGCATGACGGGTAGGCCCCGAGAGGAAGCTCCTTGGTTGATTAAATCTGTTAGTGTTTGAGTCTGTCGGCTGAATAAATATAGCTATTTGGGCAAATGAATGAAGTACACTGGTTGTTTAGGTTCAAGGAACCAGCAGGACAAGTGGCTGGGTGGCTTGGTGGCTTCATGTTTTGGCCGAATACAACTTTGACATCAAACAACGACCTGGACGTCAGCACGAGAATGCAGATCATATGTCATGGATGCCATGCCGACAGTGTGAAATGTCAATGGAGAGGACAACAGACAGGACGGGGCAAATCACCAAGATTTGACACCTGACCAAGTTTCATTTACAGTCCTGCCACAGGAACTTGTAGACCAAGTAACAACCAACTATCAGACAAGGAACCAGTCAGTCAAATTGGCCTTAACAAGCCCAACACAAGACCCAACTGGAACCAGAAGTTCCTGCAACACCTGGGAGAAACCTAAACTTCTTAAGTCTGCATCCAGACAAAGCTGACCATCGGGTCCGAGTCTCGTAACCCGTCCCCTCCTCCTGCGCAAACAGTGACAAAGATGCTGGCAATGACAGTGGCACCGAGGATGGAGCATCACGAAACAAAAAGCCAAATAGAGCTGGTGGGCAGAGGTTGAATCGTGGAGCGCAGCACCCACGAGGTATATGATGGCAGCCAGATGGTAGAATTAGGGATCCAGTATGATCAAAGATGGCTGCCCCCACGGACCGCCGACCTGCCCAACATTCAACGCCAAACATTACAAACTGTAAGTGTTGATAATGTGCCAGCTAGTTGTAATTCTACCATGAATGAACACAAGAACAACTTGATGGAATTAATGACACTGTTTGAGATTGTTGGTGCGCCATATATCGGCAACAAGTTTGCACATATTTATAACGGCAATCTGAGACCGAGTCTGTCCTTTTCCTCTACATGTGATGGGAGGATTCAAAAGAACCATCGACAGATCATGTGCACTGTTTGCACTGAAGTCTTTCATATGAAATGTACTGGAATGACTCTTCGTACATACAAGCACTACAAAGCAAATGATGAATTGTACATATGTGGTACATGTGCCCTTCCTCAGCTGAATGATTCCTTTTTTGAGACTCTATATCTGAGTGACCGTCAAGACTGTAATACGTTACTGCCATGTAATTATGATAGCACCATCGACAACGACAAGTGTACCTTCAGCGGTCTACCCATAAAGGGCATCCGAATTGGCAGCTGGAATCTGAACAGAATATCCAATAAATTTGAGCAACTCAAGCTGGCTCTTTGCAAAGATCCGCACCCCCTGGATGTGATTGGTTTATCGGAATCATTTCTTGGACCAAAGACTGATACCACATCATTACATATTGATGGCTATCATCAGCCAGAGAGGCGCGACAGACCCAACAAACATGGAGGCAGTCTATTGGCATATGCCATTAGTTACACCTGCAGGGTGGATCTTAAAACTGATCATGCTGAAATCATGTGGCTCCAGATCGAGCCCTCTAGAGCCAAGAAGTTCCTTGTCGGCTACATCTACAGACCACCAAGTGCCAAGGCTGAGACAGATTGTGTCATCAAGCAAAATTTTGAGATTGCCATCAGTCAAACATGGATGTGCTCATTTTTGGTGACATTAATTTGAGCTTCTTCAAGCAACCTCACCAGCCTACTTGATATAGGCTACACTCAATTGGTCTTGGAAGTAACCTGATATGTATCCGGAACTTGTTTGGACCATATTTATGTCAGCAATCCATCGACAATTCATTCTGTGATGGTCCCCCATGTTGGGTTATCTGATCATTTTCCTGTGGTTGTTACTAAAATGCACAACGGATCATTTTCCAAAATGTCATCTCATCGCAATATTAAGTACAGGAAGACCAAAAACATAAATGTGAATGAATTTAGGTCTGACATGATGAATGCACCATAGCATTTTTTAGATGGAATAGACAATCCCAATGAGCTTCTCCTTCTCTGGAACCATATATATTCCAGCGTTGTCAATAAACATGCCGTGTTAAGATAAACATGTTACGATACTCCAGCAAACACCATGGTGGAATGACATCATCAACTCAGCAATGCGTACAAGAGACAAACTCTTACAACGCTTCAACCAAGTCAAATCTGAAGCATTGTTAACTGCCTATAGAAAGGCCAGAAACAGAGTCAACTATTTAATCAGAGCAGTGAAGCGGGACTTTACACAAAAACTTTTCAAGACAATTTAAATGACCCCAAGGCAATGTGGAACACTATCAAATCAGCTATGAATACAGCCAAATCTGTTTGCCCGAGGCTTAACAAGAGAACCGCTGATTCGTCTACTAAAATTGATGCTGCTGAAATTGCTGCAGATTTTAATCAACACTTTATTAGTGTTGGGGACAAATATCGTCCGGACTGTGACAATATTAATCCGAATTTTGATAAATTGCATGCTTTTAACAACCAGAGGAAACTGAGCAATGATTATTTGGATTTGAGTATTCCTCCTATGAGTGTCAGATTTGTTCTTGATCATTTACAAAAAATGTCCAACTCAAAACCCTATATTTTTGATACCAAGGAACCCAAGTATGCAGTCCTCTTAAAAATTAAATAGGAAACATACCGACTCTTAAATAATCAGAAACAGTTTTGTATAATGCAATTTGGTTTTGATGTCAGCGTATCAGCGAAATAAAATCTAGACATGAAGCCAAACCAGATAGCCTTTATAAGATCGAAGTTTCACTTCTTGTTAACTGTTAGTGATACAAATGACTTTCTCTCTTGTCTTTGTTATGTAGTTTTCAAATATTCGTAACTCGAATTGACTCGAGGTAAACATTTGACTCCATCCGACTCGACTCAAATTATTGTTCTGCTCAGAAGAACATTTGTACCTCCAACTGGTGAGCCAAGGGAATGGTTATAGCCCTGGAAAACCAATCAATGGGGCCAACATGGAGTTAAGAAGAGGACCTTGTCATCCTTCTGCTCCAGTTGATTAAGTACCCGAGGGATAAGAGGAAGACGACAGGAAGGTGTATACAAGTAGCCTGTCCATCTTCATCACCATCGTATTCGTGTGCCATGTGCAGGGGTCAGGAACCCTCAGGCATTAGCCTGGAAATCTGTGACTAGTTCATGAAACAAGTCAGATTGACATGTGGTTAGTTGTCCTTGCTTTGGAGGAGGACCGTCGAAAGCAAGAAGCTATGAGGAAAACCCCAATGGGGTATTTCTCAAGTGAGTGTACACAGTTGTGCAGGCTGCCTGCCCACCTGGTCAAAGGAGTAAACCACAACCGTGTCAAAGTCACATCGAACCAGGATCATATGGCACAACACCGAATATAGAAAGTAACATCGCAGTTTCTCCGAGACTGCCAGCATCTCAAGTATGTTAATGGAACTTGAATGATGCTCACACAAGGCCTCACCAATCCGCCACTAGATGCGAGTGGTGGGCAGTTAACTGGCAGGGTAACATGTCTGCCATGACAGTTAGTGAAGGCTGCAATCTGTGAGAGGCCCACCCTTGTGAGGTTGGCAACGTCGAACCACAGGAGGTGCTGCACAAGTCAGGTCATGGCCTGCACTGAATGCAGTGAGGACTGGGTCGATACAAGCAAATAGGTGAATGCCACCAATCTTTGTTTCCACAGTGCAGTCATATCGCCTTTACTATCTCAGCAGAGGCCAGGAGTGAGGCGGAAAAAAGGCTGGAGGAAGCCACCATGAAATTGCAGCGAGAATCTTTGTTTGAAAACCGCGAAATTCTCAGTGCTCTGGCCTGAAAATGAGTTGCAGTTTGTGTACCCTTCAGGCCAGGGCTCGATCCCCATGCTGATGTGTTAGACAGTCGACTAAATCTCATGAACATCTTCCCAAGGGAAATACAAGACGGGCGCAACACTGTGCTGGCCCGATGGCATAGATGTCAGCCTCAAAGTCTCTCTGACGAGCTCCTACGAGACAGATGGGTGGAGGTCGTCATGAGTCAGGTAGGTCACTTATGGAAGTCATCAAAACAACTGAAGCCGAATCGAAATCGTTGTTACCAGTGAAGGCCTTATCCTATGTGGCATGGCGTACAGAAAATGTTGCTAGCACGGCCACACAAATCATCTGGGCAAACTTCAAGAGGTATGCAGTTGAGAAAACAAACAACTGTTTGTTCTTCACCTGCGCTGGCCTGATCATGGGGTTGATGGCTATCTGAGATTGACCATCTGAGTACATGTAGTCGACATCGACCAATATGGATGTAAACATCGATATCCACCGCAAAAGAAAAGATCTTTGTCCGTTAAAAACTTAAAAGGTGGGACTCGAATCTTTGGCGGATGCCCTTTGACGGGAGAAACAGTTCATCAAGCATGTTACCCCGGCGGGCCAAGATTGCTAGGGTCTGCACTCGTGTAAAATTATAGAGTACTGAGTGCAGACCATGAAATTGACAGTGAAAATAGCGGTCACTACGTCCGCTAAGACTGTCGAGTCAAGATTAAAACATTAAACCTAATGTACTTCATGAGGATAAAGAGGAAGGCTGAATGCGTATCGCCGAGCCCACTTTAATTCTACTGCAAAGTGTATTCAAGCTTCTGCGAGTATTATTTACGAAGAGCCGCTTAAAAAATGGGTTCCCTCTACTGCTGGTAGCTTGCGCTTAGCTGCATTGAAGAGGGAAGATGTGACAAAAAAATACGGAAAACGGTAATGATCACATTATTGCTTGAAGAGCAGCAGGCAGTTTGAATACAGGCACAATCTTTCGAATGTGGTCCACAACATGCCTGAACTATGGAAGTATCACAACCCCCAGTCGCTTCATTGTGAAGAGCAGCTGCCATCTAATGAACCATCCTTATGCAAGAGTCGAATAGACCCCGTAAACGAGAACCGTAAAACATATCTGGAGGGACGAGTTGCACACGGCCACAGTCAGTTGTTGAACAACTCCCTCGGAGACAATGGACAGTGTACATACACAAGTAATGCACACATGTACAATGTACATGTACATGAAAAATGTAGCGATCTCAGTACAGCAAGAAACACCGCCGCACGGCTAAGCACTGCGCGGCATGTCCCATTGTCCTTGAGTCACCCAACCGTGATTAATGTAGAGGGCTACAGAGTTCACGGCTCGCAACTGAACTCAGACGGACGTTTCATTAACGTGCCCGCCAGGCAATACATGTACCTGTGTAAATGTATATGACCGATAATGAAGCCGAGAACAATTGCAAGGCTTGTAATGAGTGGGCCGAAAAACCGAGTTTTCATCCCGGTAGCGTATGCCGCGGTGGGATCGGTGCAATAAACTCGCCCGGATTAGAAAAAATAATGAAGCCGTTCCCGCCTGAGAAATGGACACCATTTTGTCCGTTGTCGATGTGTTTCACACTTGATCCAACGGAGGTATGGGGAACACCTTGTCATTGTTAGATGTGGAGCCCGTCGTGCGCTTGATTTGAAAATTTTGTGATCGGACGGAGGTGGCTCATCGGCGGAGGGTAATTTAAGTACCCGTGTAATGTCCCTCTGCAGCAAATGGAGTTCCGTTTCCGCGATGGACAGCCGTTGTAACCGGTCTGATTCTTCGTCATCATCAGATGAATCAGCCGAATGCGAAGGCCAAAATGACCCCGGTGACTGAGAGCCGTCTGGAGGGGCTAGTTGTACAGAACCACGCGGTGGTGGCTGGGCAACACCCTCGGAGATAATAGACATACATTGTACATAATATTATGCAGATGGGTGAAGACTAAACACAAGCGGGGATCCTGGCGTACGGCTAACTGTGTGCGGTAGGTCCCGTTGTCTCTGGACCACGCGACCGTGGCCCACGGCTGGCGAATGTGAAATTCCGTTCGCCGTAGGCCGGGCTTCCGGTATAGCGCACAACCATGTGTGGTATACATGAACATGTACATGTATGAACATGTGTTTTTTCATTTTTGTACATGTACATGTACCTCGTTGTGCTTGGGCCACGCAATCATGACCAATGAATGACGACTATGAAGCATTCACTGCAGATAAGGACTGATGATACAATTCAAAGATTAATTTGCTGGATTCAACTCAAGCAATTTAAGGAGATAATCCAGGGTAAATCGAAGCCAATTAGTGCAATGAATCATGTGTGCAAAAGACCATTCATAAAAGTCAGCAAAATGACGACTTACAGCAGATATCGGCATTCGCGTAAGTCGTCACAAATTCTCGGGTCCCGAGAGTGCCAACTTGGAGAGTTTACTGTATTCTGAGGCACTTTTGTCAGTGTTTTAAATAAATGTCTAATAAATAATTTAACCCTTTAAAAAGTTGCCTGTCCTTTCATCTTTGCCGTAGCCCAATAGTTTTTTGACTCACCAGCCGGGCTACTTAAGGAATAGTGTGACTAGCCTGCTGCTGTTTTGACTAGCATTTGGCTAGCGGGCTACCGCTAATTTTGAACCCGGCCTTAAGAATAGCACTTTAAATAACTGAAAAGGCTACCCTGTTGAAATAAAACTAGTATATATGCAACAAGTCTATTTAAAACGTCGGTGAAGGGCAAAAACCTAATTTGAAGCCTATTTGAGATGCAACAAGCCTATTTGAGAAATGGCCGACACAATGGAGGGCGCTATTTGGTTTGGGTAAATACAAAAGATTTTACCCAAATCAAACAGCGCCCTCCTATTGTTTCTGCCATACCTAATGCTGTTTTTGATCTTACCTAAGCAGCTTGGATTAAGAGTGACAGCTCTCTTGGCTCCTTTGTTGACCACCGACAGAACCCGTGGTACTGTGTCAATCAGAGAAGTTAGTGCACTGTGTCCAAAGTTGGCCGGCTGTAGTTGTACTCCATGCAATTTGTGATATTTAGCAACCAACTCCTGAAATGTCATGCTCAAACGATTGTCTGCAATCAGGACATTGCGGGCTTGACGTGCAAACTGATGGGCAGGAGTTAGTTCTATGTAGCATTCATCCAACCATTCATTCTGAACCTAGGGTAAAATAAAACCAGTCAAGTTATGCAAACAATAATGAACACATAAACTTTTAAAATTACAATTGAGGAAATCCTATTTTATAACACACCTTTTGCTTATTCTCTATCCTAGTTGGCTAAAATATGGCAACGTGTCGTGTGACCATGGGGTACTGATCACAACCTTAGTAATTATCCCGTTCCGGAACAAAGGGCACACAAAAGTAGCCTGATTGAGGAGAGGCAACTGAATGAGGAGATTCACATTCACTTTCCCTTTCTTGTGGAACTTGTTTTTTTGTTTTTCAATCCTTTTGTAAGACCTTTCATAGTTTTAGCCAGCTGGCTCGAAAATTCAAGTATTTTAAATATTGCTGGGGCTCACTGGTGATGCCCCTGTTTCCGCCAATTTCTTTTAACGTGCAGTTACATGTGTACAGTCGACTCTCGTTATTACAAGGTTCTCCCGACTTATTTAATTTCGTTGTATTATAAGGAAGCTCGTCTTATGCAGAAAGTCATTTTCCAGCCATTTGGAAGTGGAAGACAGAGGGCGTAGTTCGGCTATTAAATGCAAAATCATCGGAATTGAGAAGGATAAAATTAAATTAAAATTTTACTGGCAAGTGCGGGAGACTTATTTTAGCATGGCATAGATGACATCCTAGAGGTATTGATTACAAAGGGACAAACAACCAAGGTGTGGGTTCATTATATTTTCCTTTTTATAAATTTTCTCGGGGTAGGGGATAGGTACGTTCGGAAGGGTTTTGACCTCTTAAATAGTAGGAGGGTTAAAGAAAGAAAACATTCTAACCAACCAAACCACTATAGCTACATGTATGCTTAAACCACCACTTTAGCTACATGTATGCTTAAAATAAGTGAGTCATACACGAACCAATACAGCCTGTGAGTGGTCATACAGACCATTTACTGCTCTTGCACCATTGAGTCCATAGTCCGTGGCACAATAACCAACTTTCAATTACAAAGAACATGAGTCTTGCAATTGAAGTCCAACCTATATGATGATCAAATACAATATCCAAAACTGAGAGGAATGTATTGGGTTTCTTTTCAAGGGCAAGTTTTGTTGAGATCCAGTTCTTTGATGTCTGTGAATCCTGATTACATAATACCGTTACCACTCTAGGAGTAAGCTACTGTCTTACCATGAGAACATAGTGAAGCATTTTCATGAGTGTGACCAGTCTGCTATGTCCATACTCAATGGGAATCAATTCTTGGCCCCAAACACTATGGTAAGCTACGCTAACATCCTTGATAGCTAGACGTCCATCATCAGATTCCAGTAGTACCACTAATATCTGCTGTGTCAACTGGCTTAAGTGCATATTCTCTACCAGATGCAGATGGTGTTTAGAACCATCACTTACAATCTGCAAATTAAAAGTTGAACAAAGTAACAAACCCAAAATTCACCTGTTTTAGACTGACATTCTAGAGTGGCACCTGACCAATGCTCAATGACTCAAGTTAACCCGAATAGAATTTGGTTTCAGAAAGCAAACGGTATGCATCAATATTTGCTGGTCCCAGAGGGCCAGCCTAGTGTCCATTTTGTACCTGACTGACTCACTGACTGTCACTTGTGACTTAGATTTATATAAGTCTTAGCTTGGCTCAAAAGTTTTGTCTCAGATGACTAGTTGGGTGAACCGTGTATACACATGTAAGTTTGTATAAAATGAATGTCATAGGGTGGACCATGGATATGAGTTGCTGGTTTTATACCAACTGACTGACTGACTGTCACTTGTGCTTAGACTGGTTGTAGGCTGGTGCAGAGGGCTGGGCAGTACTTTCATAAAGTATTACCTTGTAATGCCAATCTACGGTCAAATCAGGCCAATTGTGTAGCAAAGATGCACGAAAAAGCTACACGTGAATATCAATTATGAATCAATTGAATAGAATTGTGTGCTCATGAACCAGCTTTCCTAAGCTGGCCTTGTCTTGTTTATTAAATGAAGGGATGTCTAAAATCAAAATGCTCTATTCTGAACGACTGCAACAGTGTTTGTTTTCTTGGGAACTTTTCATGTACTTGATGCAAACGTTGGTAATCATTTTTGGAATGCCAATCTTTACTGGTATTTTTCAGATTTACAACATATGACATAAAACTTCATGCACGAACTTCAGCATATGTGAATTAATCAAGTTGACAGCGCTGCTTTGACTGTCATTTACCCTTTATGAGACCACTCTACCCACTAAGTATATTCCATATTATACACATATTGAGTGGCTCAGCGTGGAATGGGAGGAATATTATCGCAATGTAAAATCTGGACTTTTCCCCTTCACGAGGCAAAGCCGAGTGAACTGGAAAAGTCCAGATTTTACCGAGCAACAATATTCCTCCCATTTCACAATTTCAAGCCACTCAATATTTGTTTTATATAGATCCTTGTCATTTGACATTTTATTTCAATACAAAATTGGTGGAAAATGTATTTCCCTCTTCCAAACCACCCCTTCACAAAAATGTTTGAACCCAACGCTGTAGCGCTGGCTCTTTGGAACAATACGCGCTACGCGCTACGCACAACGCTGAACGCGCACACCAGCATGCATTTGCACACAAATACCACGTCATGGAACAAGAATGATCCTAACTGTTCAATATTATTTCCCATTCCCCATGGGCGAATGGGACTTTTTGAACCCCGGCGTGAATGGGAGCAATAACGAATGTCACGTGATGTGAGTTCCACCAATCAAATGACAAGGATCTGTATGTCGGTTATATAAATCTGAACTTTTCCGTGCATTCACAAAATAAAACAAGATGATTCTTCCATATCATCCTATTATACATTTTAAGGGACACGCATAAAAGTGCAACATGGAGTCACCATAACATTAATTGCTAATGACAAAGTCAGGAGTGTTGGCATATCTGCCAGATATGTGTTTCCTTAACAGCAGATTATATCATAATCAGCCTACCTCAACTACATGTGGAAATCTAGCCATCAACTCTTGCATATTCTTGGTATGATAGTCCTTCATGTAGATTGGATACATGTAACATCTTGTATACATCTCATTAAATGTATCTAAGTTAATGAGATGTAGGCGATTCCTCTGTAACATTTCTGAAGTATGACGAGCTATGAGTGCCAGCTGTTCCTCAGTAGTCAAAATGACCACACGCTCATCTCCTTGTTCTTCAACCTGGTCATTGGAAAAATAAAAGTTACTGTGCAAATTCTGGTATCCGAAATGCATATACGGGCAGTTGAACACTGATAAGAAGAGCACTGTTAACACAACCTACTGCTTACAACAAGAAAAATGTTAGGCCCACAGTCTTTCTTTTTTTCCCCCTTTGTTTTCCATTATTAATAATACAAGGTACCTGTTATAACAAGGTAATATGTAAAGTCCCAAGGACCTTGTTATAAAGGCATTCGACTGTACAGGCCTACATGTATATCATGAATTAACTGATAAATTTATTTTATTAACAAATAAATTTGTTATATCTTGTGCTTGGATACTGTAATTTCATTGGTCTAGAACAGCCTCGTGTCAAGATAATAAAAATAACAGCGTTGCTGTTGAAACCCCTCAGCCAAAGTTTGTCGAAAAGGGCAAACTGACATTCCAAACTCAAATATCATGTCCAACTGAAATTATCATGCAGAAACCATTAACTCACCACAGTGACCTTGACCTTTGGACCCCAAAACCAATCCCAACTTGCCTGTACCCAAGGGCAACCCCCTACCTAAGTTAGACACCAAAATCTCATTTCCAACTCAAGTTATCATCCAGAAACCATTTACCTTTAACGCACCACGGTGACCTTGAACTTTGACCCCAAAACCAATCCCAACTTGCCTACTCCCAAGGGCAACCCCCTACCAAAGTTAGACACCAAAATCTCATTCTAACTCAAGTTATCATCCCGAAACCAATTACCTTTAACTCACCAAAGTGACCTTGACATTTTGACCTCAAAACCAATCCCGACTTGCCTTCTCCCAAGGGCAACCCCCTACCAAAGTTAGACACCAAAATCTCATTTCTAACTCAAGTTATCATCCTGAAACCATTTACCTTTAACTCACCACAGTGACCTTGACCTTTAACCTTTTGACCCCGAAACCAATCCAACTTGGCTTCTCCCAAGGGCAACCCCTACCAAAGTTTGACATCAAAATCTCATTTCTAACTCAAGTTATCATCCGGAAACCGTTTACCTTTAACTCACCACGGTGACCGTGACCTTTGACCTTTTGACCTCAAAACCAATCCCAACTTGCCTACTCCCAAGGGCAACCCCCTACCAAAGTTACAATCCCAAACAACATTTCTAACTGAAGTTATCATCCGGAAACTCCGGTCGGTCTAGCCAGACGGAATTGTGGGGTGATAGCATTGTGTTCCCATTATCCCTTTTTCTAAAGATTCTCTTCTGGGGTGATGTTTTTCTATTGTGAAAATAGTGGGGTGATGTTTCCTGAAAGGAACATCACCCCACAAGGGGGGTATGGTCAGAACGGACGGACAGACGGACGCCGTAGGCGATGACAATACCCCTCGAGCCTCTCAGCTGAGTAGTAAAAATGCTTGTCACACACTGATATCCATTTTTATGTAGAGAGCAGAGATATTGCACAGCGTTCATTGCGCGCACACAGCCGCACACGCGTGTGGAACCTGCCAGCACTAGATTCACACAATGAGAACTGCAACGTCAACCGCTCAGTCTAATGTCCGGCAGGTCGTCAAAGCCCTCAGTAATCAAAGGTTACATCTCACTGATTTAATTAGTTTCTCACACAGTAATTTACAACCATTTATCTGTTTGATTTATTGGCACGATATAACAAAACAATTGTTGACTGCTGTGATGTGGGATATGTCGTTTTTAACCCCCTCAGGGACACCTCTTAATTAATAAATAAAATTTGTCCTGGTCCTTTGCTGGAAGTAAAAGTTTAGGCATGTGCTCAAGCAGCAAATACTGGCAAATGTTTTTGGGGTACCAGCAGTGCACCACTGATCACACCTTTCTATGACCACACAATGCATGGTAGATCATAAGCTAGAACAGGCTAGATACCTGATGCCAAAATGCACTCATCAGCCCAACGTTGCAAGGTTTTGCCATGCACATTGCATGTTTTAAAGCATTTTGACAAAGGATAGCTAATTTTCAATGAAAAACAAACACAAACTAGAGGTCTATGTCTGTTCGATGAACAGATGATAAGGCCTTTTTGCATTTTGATATTTTTCTTTATGTTTATGGTTTTTTTTGCATTTCTGTGAATTCATGTAAATGATCAGTTCCATGTACGAAAATAGTTCCATAAAAATTTGACCACTTATTCTTAATCTGTTGCATTTTCTATAAACTAATAGTGACGTCACACAATTAGTGACAATTTTGTGCCCATGATCATGACCTACTGAACATGTTAAAAGTATTTTGATTTTAGCATTTTTGGGGCTAGATGTAGAGAAGAATGTTAAAAAATGCCAATAATATTTAACATTTTAATAAATCCATACACAATTGTATTTCATCATAGTGTCACATCAATTTTTACCTAGAACACATTCCTATCAATGTACATACTAACTTTCAACCCGACCAGACTTGTAGTTCTCTAGATAAAGGACTTTAAAATATCACCTTTACAATGACAATACGTGAAGTTTGCAGAATTGGTAGAAGAGAATGTCAAATGTTTGTAAGTAGACCACAATTTAAAAAGTTTCAACATTTATTAAAGAAATCAGATTATGACATCATTGTGACATCAATTTAAAATGTGCATGTTTGTACCATTATGTACCTAAGTACCCACCAAGTTTCATGGCGATTGAATTTACCCTTATGTGTTTAAAAAAACCAAACATGTTTTTTATGACATCATCACGACGTCACACATTTGTCACATTTTGTGCATATCTACGACCTAACAAACCTATTACAGAAAGAATCGTGACTTTAGCATGTTGTGTTTATGCGATAAGGCAATAATCTTCAAAACTTCAAAAATCTATATAAAATCGCATGATGATGTCATCATAATTCTGTTTGATTTGTATGAAGACTAGCAGGATCATTTCTTAATTGCACACTTCAATGCCAATTCCAACCAGCTCCAGACAAACTTATTCCCCCCCCCCCCTCTGTTCACTTCCATTTAGTATTTCTTTTGCATATTCTTTCTTTAAACCTTATTGCCATGACTCACAAATAGAACATGCTTAATTAGCTGTTTCGGCAAGTCCACCGAAACAGCTCTTGTTAGACCTGGGTCCTTATTCACAAAGCACCCGCAACAATTTGCGGGTGCGCAACTTCCCCGTAACCCTCACCTAAGCACTTGCGGGTTATTCACGAAACCCTCTTAAATCTGCGTGTGCCCGTAAACCACCCGTAAATTTGCGGGACATCTAGACGTCCCGCAACCATACGGCAAGTTGTGTGGATCATCTCGAGCATCACAATGGTGGCACTCTTGGCAGTATTTTTGATCTACGAACTGAATCGACGTGCTCTTTGGTGCCGTTACGTTTTCCTTGACTGGTTGAACCAATTACAGGATGAGTCAAAGGAAAGTGACCGAATTTGAAAAAATGTGTTTAAATATTTGGCTCGTTCCATGTTCATGGGCGTCAATCGGTGGGGGACAGCAGGGCGGGAGGGGGAGGGGGTTGTCCCCCACCACACACATACACTTTTCAAAGTTGATTCAATGACTCACACCCCCCCCCCCAAAAAAAAGATGTTTAAAAAGATAATACTTTGCTCAAAAAAGTGATTTCACCCTAAATTGGCCGGCTTATTTTGTTGCATCTCTCAACGGGGGGAGAGGGGAGGGGGGAGGATTCCCCTAAGATCTCGGCCATCGACTGACGAAAACTATGAAACTCTGTACTTGCATATAGAACAACTTATTATAAACATACCCAAGAAATTCCATGACTATAGGTCAAAGGGTTTTGGAATTATGGCTAATTAATTATTCATATGCATGAATGGTAATTCTTTTTTGTGTACACCACATGGTGTTTGGTTGTCCACGAGGGGACTACTTACCTGTTGGACCTATAAATGCATATTTCCTTAACTATGTAAATTAACCGCTAAAGTAAAGATTTGCTATAGCGTGCCACAGCGCCCTCCTGCGCCAGCGCCCACAATAGTCAGAGCCCCCGCCATTATCGTCCTCTTTCTTTAGCGCGAGTGAATCACACCAAAGGAGGAGCCCACTGTGGGGAAAGGCGGGCGGGACGGTCCAACAGGTAAGTAGTCCCCTCGTGGACAACCAAACACCATAGTTTGGGGGTTGTCCACTTCGTCTCCTACTTACCTGTTGGACCTATAAATGCATAGATTGGCACCGAAATTGGTGGTGGGAGTGGGCTGCAATTGAGTCAAAGAAGGACACACAAATAAGGAATCCCCTCATGGACTACACAAAAGCACATTATAAACTACCATGAGCCTTACTCACCCTACTGTTGAGTTGTTGGTACAACAGCCTGGGTTGAGACCTCTTTGGAGGGTTGTCTTGGGGCAGCTGATGGCATGGTGACTGACATCGTCACCCGCCCAGTCTGCCCTTCTGTTAAGAGGACATCTCTCAGGTAACATGACGAAAAGGTCGTTGCTGTTTTCCAGCATGCTGCCTGCATTACATCTTCCACAGGAACACCCCGCAATAGTGCCCATGATGTTGTGACCGCCCTTGTATCATGAGCATGAATTGTCCGACGGGATTCGTTCAGAGGACTGTCTGGCATTTGGGATCGGATAGCTGTAACTATCCATCAAGAAATTGTGTCACGGGATGCTGAGCGGTGGGGAGGAGTTGAAGTTATGAACAGTTGAGACTCCCCACCGCGGATGGGTTTTGTGCGAGCTATGTACCATTTTAGAGCTCTAACTGGGCACCGTTTCTTATCTTCGGGGACCGAAGATAATGATTTCAATTCAGGAACAAAGATGTCCGGAGGCTGGAAGTTAGGAGACTTCGAGGGATGAGACATACTCCGTGCGGCTCCCATCTTATGTGTCCCTTGTCCACGGTCAATGCATGGAGCTCGCTCCGTCTCCTAGCTGTTGCAGCAGCGATGAGGAAAGCTACCTTGACTGACAGATCCAACAAGGGTACCGTCGCAAGAGGTTCATAGGGCGGGTTTGCTAG